TTCACCTTGACTTGGGACGGCCAGAAGCAGGGCGACGCATGGCCAGTGAGCGGGGAGGCCTGGGGAAGGGCTGGTCTGACTGAAATATTCTCACACACACCCACTTCCTGGCCTGGGTCGATCAGGAGGAGCTCGTAGAAGGGCCACCTGGAGACTTAGGGAGAGCATGATAATGGTCGTCAAAACCTTGAAGAGGCCCTGGTCTGGAAGAGGCAGGTGTGTTCTCAGAAAATCCATTTAAACCTAATGGAAGGGTCAGAGGATTTGAGTCACTGCTTGCTACCTGTGTGCCCTCAGCAGGACCCATTCTGTGACATGATGGCAAGTGCTAAGTGCTACGTGCCCACCCACCTCTGTGGCACTGAGAAGGGGGCAGGGGGTCAGGGGTCGGAGAGCCATCGGGGGTGAACCTTGGCTCACAGCCGGAGTTGGGAAGATGGTGGCAGTTGCTGGGTAGGGATCGTGGCCTCTTCTTGGATTTTGGGTGGGACCCCATCCTGTCCTCTAGAAAGCACGTGGCCTTTCAGGGGTCATCTGTTCACTGATGGGTTTTCGCGGCTATACACAAGCATGCACGCATATGTGCGCCGATGTCACCTGTCACGTCCGAATGTGTGACGTACTGCGGAAGATGACTGTGGGCTTCTTCCCATCACCCCTTTCTAGGGGAAGTGTCACACTGTTCCTGGCCCTTAGCTGGAGTTCCTCCAGGCAGCCCCAGCGGCTTGCGGGGACTTCACAATGGGGGGAGAAGCCCTCCCCCCCCCCCCCCCCACCGACCGTGGAAGTCTCTATCTGAGCCAGGGGGCAGGGGGACAGGCCTTGGACAGCAACCTTAGAAAGAAAGGAAGCTTCCGGCGGTGCGGCAGCTGGGGCCAGCTGTGCTATTTCCTTTTCTTCAGACTTCCCAGAGAAGGCTTCATTCTTTTCCTGTCCAAAATAAATTACGAACATAGAGTAAAATGATCCTCTTGGCGATCAGACCTCTCTGACTCTGTCCCAGACTTCTCTCTTTTTCTCCTGCTTTTCTTCTTTTCGCTCCCGCGACTCTTCCTCCTTAGGACTGAAAGAAATTGCCACCTGTATGCCAGGGAAGCCCCATTTGGGTGCTGGGGGAAGCTGCTTCCCAGGGAGCCCGCTCACCACGTCTTCTCCACGTCCTCCTTGGCCACAGTGTGCCTCAGGACCATTGCCGGCAGGGCCAGGGGGAGGGAACTGCACCACAGACCCTGGTGTTTCTGTTTGCTTGGGACCCATTCCCATTCTGCTGTCCCCTGAAGACAGCAGTCCATCTAAAAAAGCCCAGGCCCGGGGTGCCTGGGTGGCTCAGTCGGTTAAGCGGCCGACTTCGGCTCAGGTCATGATCTCGCGGTCCGTGAGTTCGAGCCCCGCGTCAGGCTCTGTGCTGACGGCTCAGAGCCTGGAGCCTGTTTCAGATTCTGTGTCTCCCTCTCTCTGACCCTCCCCCGTTCATGCTCTGTCTCTCTCTGTCTCAAAAATAAATAAACGTTAAAAAAAAAAGTTTAAAAAAAATAAAAATAAATAAAAAAATAAAAAAGCCCAGGCCCAGGGGACTGAGGCTGAACCACGGTGGCCACGCTGCCCCCACCCTGCTCCGTGCCGGGCGCCACACATGCCTCCAGTGCACACGCACCCTTCCTCACAGGCCCTGCCATCCTCCTTTTAAAATGTAACTTAAGCTCCCTGAAACCCACAGGCGGGATTCAAACCTAGTCCTTCTGACGCCCAAGTCACTCTTTCCTCCAAGCTGGACCTTTCCCGTGGGCCCGGCAGCCTGGAGGGTTGTGTCACTCTCAGCTGAGAGAACGTCCGCTGCCCACCTCACAGAGCACAGCTGTGTCCCCTCCCCGCCTGCCTGAGCCTCTGTTCCTGCCACCAGCCCCTTGGTGGCCCCCGCTGCTTATAGATCAGAGGCCTGACTCCTAGGTAGCCTCTAGGCCCTTCTCTGCCCCCACGGCTCTGGTCTGTGCCTCTGTGTGGTGCTCCGGGGGCGTGCGAGGTATTGGCCTTCTGCACCGGGTGAGTGTCCTATGGTACCTGTGCCCGCGTCAGCTTGTACTTCGTCAGCATCTCAAGTCCCTGAACGTCACCGGTGTCTGCAATGCCGTTTCCTCTCTTCTTTTGCAGCAATGGATGGTGTGCCTTTTATGATCTCAGAGAAGTTTTCTTGTGTTCCAGAAAGTGTAAGTGTTCTGCATGATCTCCCTTCTGTCCTGTCACCCCCAGCCCGCCTGCGTTCCCTCTGCTCATCACACAGGGCCCCCCCGGCAGCCCTCACACCCCGGTCCTCCCTTGTGTTGTTCCAACTCCCTCTCTGGGCCCCTTCAGCTATGGCTGCACGTAGCAGGTGCTCGGAGAGTTAGGGAAAAGCAGGCACGAGGGGCGGGGAAGGAGGGAGGCAGACAAGCGGAAAAACTCAGATTCGGCCATGGCCAAGCCTTTTTTTTTTTTTTTTTTTCCCCAATGTGACCATAAATTGGGCTCATTGTGAATGTTCTTGGTTTCCAAGCTCAACTTCTTAAATTTTTTTTAAAACGTTTATTCATTTTTGAGAGAGGGAGGGACAGAGAGGGTCCGAAGGTCAGGACAGCGCAGAGCCCGATGTGGGGCTCAAACTCGGAAACTAGGAGATCACGACCTGAGCTGAAGTCGGATGCTTAACCGACTGAGCCACCCAGGCGCCCCCAGGTTCGACTTCATTTTTGTTTTTTTTATTTAACCGTGATGACATTTTACAGAAAGAAGGCTGCCTGGTTTTTTCATGGTCATTGCCGGATGCTGCGATAACCACACTCTCTGCTCTGGATTGGAGGGAGGCCTCGGAATGGCAGGACCGGCCGGCTAGTGTGTGTGCCTGCGGCTGTGCTCTCCCGCTCACTGTGGGCCCCCAGGAACCCCATGCTATGCACCGGCCAGCCGGGGCCCCTGAGCTATCTCTGATGACAGGGGGCCTGAGGGGGCTGGCTGGGGGCCTGAAGGCCCGATCCCAGACTGTGGGGGGAGCCCACCCCACCTGGCACTCCTGGGACCCTGTCAGATGGTGCCCCCCCACCTTGGGTGCAGAGCCCCCGCCCTCAACTGTTACAGGCCTGGCCCGTGCAGGCTCGATAGACTTGTTTCAGGGCTTTTTAAATCCTTTTTGCAGAACTTTGCTTCGAGTAGCTAATAACCGTGAGGGCCCCAGTTTGGGCACCAGCTAAAGAATCCTTCAGTGTATTTCTTGGATCCAGCTTAAAACCACCCGGCTTGCGATTTGACCTGCTCTGTAGTTTCCATTTTCATGAAATATAATAGGCCTCCTCTGAACCCTTCTGGTAAGCAGCTTAATCTTGAAAAATGCTCGTGACGTGACATGCGGAGCATGAGTAACTTCAGCCGACGCCACTTGGCTGCGTTGCCGTGGCAACGCTGGCGCCTCTCCCGCCCCGCTCCCTCGCTCCCTCGCTCCCTCGGAGAGGCTGTTCGTCCTGCGCACCGGCTCCAATCGGGAAAGTTTAGTGGGGCAGTTAGAGCCTAATGATGCAACAGCTGGACCTCTGCTGGATGGCGGGCAAGCAGCCCCGTTCTTGCCACTCAGGCTGGCAGCGGGGGAGAGCCGGGCTGTTTTGTGGCTCCTGGCAGCGCAGCCCCGGGAGCGGAGTGCCGACTTCGGTGGCCCTGCCCCAAGATCGCCCTCGCCAGCTCGCTGCTGCCCGGCGCTGCCGACTCAGCACGTGCCCGAGGCCCGGTGGCTTGGGCCAAGCCCCGTGCCGCACACCCCCTGTGCTCTGTCCTTTAACCTCCCCCTCCAGCCCAGCCAGGACGGCCCCGCCACCCTGCTCCAAACAGGAGAGGAAGCCCCACCTCTGGGCTGTGGCTGGGAACCACGAAGGCCTGGGCTTTTGTCTGAGACCCCGGTTTCACCTGTTCGTCCCGGCTGCCTGTTTTCGGAACCCCCCCCTCGAGAATATGAAACGCCCGATGTGCCCAGAGAGGGCTCAGAGCAGGGGCACCAAGGACCAGGTCCCCTCTCACCATGCGTTCGGCCCAGACTTCTCCAGGCTTCCAGCTGACCCTTGTTGCCATGTGCATTTGATTTTTCATGTCGTCTGTTGAAAAGCCAGCGTCCTCAGAAAAAGTTCCCATCTTCGTGAACTTCTAGAAACGCCCATTAAAGTGCAGTGTTACCAGTTTTCACCACGACTGATCATTTCTCATTTCTCAAATGATAATTGATGGGCACGTCCTTCATTCCCCTTGCATTTCCAGAGGCCTAGAACTCCCTCCGGCTCCTTCCCTGGATGTCAAGGAGTCCCAGACAAGAGACTGACCATCCTGCCTCCTGGAACTGCTTAGACCCATCCCACCACATAGATGGAGCAGTCAGGGTGGCATGTGGTGAAGCCCTGTGCCCCTCCGGCCCCCCAGCTGTGAAAGGAGCAAACCGGCTTTTGACACGGGCATGGAGAAGAGGCAGAAGTGATCAGTGACAGTCACTGTCTTTTAGGAGGGCTGTGACCTTGCTGGGTGCTGTCGACAGATGACCAGGCAGGGTCCCTGCCAGCAGGGGCCAGCCCTGTTGTCGGCCAGGTTTTCTGCAATATGTGCTCCCGTCGCTCACCCCTGTACCCTCAGTGATCACTAGAGTCCTGGTGGGTTTCCACTGAAAGAATAGAGAAAACGCTAGATCACATACGGTGGTTTGAGATGTCACCGTCGTCATGCATAAAAGCGAATGTGAAACAGCATTTTCCAGCCGTTTAAAAGGATGCCTTGATCTGTGTTTACAGATGCAGCCCTTTGATCTCTTGGGAATCACCATCAAATCTCTGGCAGAAATTGAAAAAGAGGTAAGCA